TAGTAGTAGTAGTAGTAGTAGTAGTAGTAGTAGTAGTAGTAGTAGTAGTATCCAGGTTTCCGATCTAGTGATGACTTTATCCCCTGAGTCAACTACTGCCTTCCTGACGAGCTTAAGCAAAGTTTACAGAGTAATACAGGGCTGTGCTAGTAAAAGTTTAACATTAGAAAAAAAACAAACTGTGCCCACACACTTTCAAGTTTAATCTGTTTTATGAATACTTTCTTAAGTCCAGATAATCAACAAAACAATAAATCAAGCCCCAATTTGTAAAGATTACTGATTTTTGAGGTATAAATACTCATACTGAAAAATTAACAATCTGCATGAAAGCTGGTTAGAAGTGGCTCCAGCACACCGCTTTGTGGGGATTCTCTATGGAGAAGAAGGTCTTCTAGCTAGTGTGACCCTGGGCAAGTCACTTAACCCTGATTGTCTCACCAAAAAGGAAAAAAAAATGTCTTCCATATACTTCTGTTTGCAAGTGGCATCATGTTGGTTGTATCTAGCACCCCCACCACTCCAACACTGCAGATCTTCCTGAAAGAGATCTGTAACCCCTCAAAAGAGTTTAGTCTAACCATTCACACATTAGAAAAGAAGTGGATGAAAACTATTTGTTGCCCAGATTATGACATGTAGTTATAAAACTCACACGTACACACATATATAATATATAACACAAATATATCTACAGATATATATGCCTATGTGTCTAAATATATATATATATATATATATGTTTGTATGTATTTATATTTACTGATCTGTGAGTTCTACAACATGTCATATCTGAGATAGACAGTGCAAATGGACATAAAGTTGGATCCAGAGTCAAATAGGAGAAGGGTGGAAAGGTAACAAGCATTTATTAAGTATTTACTATGTTCTAGGCACCCATGCTAAGTGCTTTACAAATATTTCATTTGATAAAGAGACTTAATTGTCTTCAGGAAAATTCAAAGCTCATTTAATGACCCCAAGCTTCTCCCAAAACCTAAGTCTCATCTTGTAAATACCAATATTTTACTAGTAATGTGTGGTTCTAAGTCAGAACAATCCCAAAAGAATAAAAAGTAAATACACACAGGACAATAGAGAGGCTTATGGTGGGTATAAGTAAGATTACATAGAACATATAAGGAACTGCACAGAGCTGAAGCAAAGAACATTATCAGGGGAACACAGAAAACAAAGATGGACCAGTGAAGCAATGTTTCAAAAATGAAAGACAATAGCTAACAAGCCCAAATGTTCCACTGCTTTTCTTGCAAAGCCAGGGAAGGCCCCTAGATCATTGAATGAGCTCTCATCTCCATATTGAAATGTTGAGTTGTGTAGGATAGGCAGGAATGGAGGGGTTGTGACCTTCATCATTGGCCAGAATACCCAAATCAATAAAATCCGAGATTCATTTGTGTGTGTGTGTGTGTGTGTGTGTGTGTGTGTGTAGAGTGGCTTCTCTCAAAAGTGAGCTCCCTGAAAGCTACCTTAGCTTCAAGCAACATTTTGAAGTTTCTTTTCAAAACCACAGCTCATAAGCCACTACTGATGTGCCCAGCCAGAGGACCCATTATTTCAAAGCAAAAGGGATTTCACTAACAAAGCAGCAGGATAAGTAACATAAAAGATCTCTCCACCTCCAACACACACACACACACACTCACACACACACACAAACACACACAGAGGAATGTCCTCTTGCACACCTCCCCCACACATCCTGGTACTATCATTGTGAGAGGAAGTATGCTTGGCCACAGAGCATACAGGGGAGAGGGCACATGTGGAGGAAATGTGCATAGCCAGAGAAACTCACACTTTTAGAGCTGCATTCCAGCTGGAACCACTTTTGCCTTAGACCCTACCTTTTACTGATTCATCCATGGTACAACCATCTGTTGATTTTCAGCAATGCTGTATTCAGCTGCCATCTGCTGGTTTTCTACTAAACTTCAGCAGCTACGAGGCCTTTTACCTTTAAGGAGCAGGTCTCAGCACTTTTAGCCCATAGCCTCAGGGACTATTTCAGCTCTTTTGTGAACCAGACCCCAGGCTTCATCTAGCCTTAGCTTGTCTTTTCAACTCCTTTGGCAATGGATTGGAAGAGATCAGTTTACATCCCAGTCCTAAAGAAGGGCAATACCAAAGAATGTTCAAATTACCAAACAATTGTGTTCATCTCACACACCAGCAAGGTTATGCTTAAGATTCTATAAGCTAGGCTTCAGCAATATGTGAATTGACAATTACCAGAAGAGCAGGCTGGTTTTCAAAGAGGCAGGGGAACTAGAGACCAAATTGCCAACATTGGCTGGATTATGGAGAAAGCAAAAGAATTCCAGAAAAACTTCTACTTCTGCTTCATTGACTACACAAAAGTCTTTGACTGTGTGGACCACAACCAAATGTGGCAAGTCCTCAAAGAAAGGGGAGTAGCAGATCATCTGATTTGTCTCCTGAGGAACCTACATGCGGGCCAAGAAGTAACAGTTAGGACCGAACATGGAACAATTGATTGATTTAAGATTGGAAAAGGAGTACAACAAGGCCGTATCTTGTCACCTTATTTATTTAACTTATATGCAGAGTACATCATGTGGAATGCCAGGCTGGATGAATCATAAGCCAGAATTATGGTTGCCAGGAGAAATATCAACAATCTCAGTTATGCAGACAATACCACTCTGATGGCAGAAAGTGAAAAGGAATTAAGAAGCCTCTTGATGAGGGCAAAAGAGGAGAATGTAAAAGCTGGTTTGAAGTTTAACATTAAAAAAACTAATATCTTGGCATTTGGTTCCATCACTTCCTGGCAAATACAGGGAGAAGAAATGGAAGCAGTGTCAGACTTTATCTTCTTGGGCTCAAAGATCACTGCAGCTATGAAATTAAAAGACACTTGCTGCTTAGAAGAAAAACCACGGCAAATCTGAATAGTATGCTAAAAAGCAGAGACATCACCTTGCTGACAAAGGTCCATATAGTAAAAAGTATGGTTTTTCCAGTAGCACTGTACGGCTGTGAGAGTTGGATTATAAGGAAAGCTGAGCATTGCATAATTGACACTTTCAAACTGTGTCAAATTGTTTCAAAAGAAAACTTTTGAGAGTCCTTTGGACAGCAAGGAGATCAAATTAGTCAATGCTTAAAGAAATTAATTCAGACTATTCACTAGAAGAACAAATACTGAAACTTTAAATACGTTGGCCACATGTGAAGATGAGACTCATTGGAAAAGATTCTGATGTTGGGAAAGATTGAAGGCAAAAGGAGAAAGGGATAGCAGAGGATGAGATGGATAGATAGTGTCATGGAAGCAACAAATATGAGCTTGGACAGATTTTGGAAAATAGTGGAGGATAGAAGGGTACCATGGTCCATGGGGTCATGAATAGTTGGACACAATTGAATGGCAGAAGAAGAAGGAGGAGGAGGAGGAGGAGGAGGAGGAGGAGGAAGAGGAGGAGGAGGAGGAGGAGGAGGAGAAGAAGAAGAAGAAGAAGAAGAAGAAGAAGGAGAAGAAGAAGGAGAGGGAGAGGGAGAGGGAGAAGGAGGAGGAGGAGGAGGAGGAGGAGGAGGAGGATGAGGAGAAAGGAAGAGAAGAGAGAAGAAAAAGAAGAAGAAAGGAGGGGGAGAGAGAAGAAGATGATGATGATAAAGATGAAGAAGAAGAAGAACAATAACAGTAACAACAACGAGTTTCCGTAACAACTCCAATTTTCAGGCTCTTCCTGGCTCCATTTGTGAGCTTATCAGGTTTTGTTTCCTTGATCCATGTTTTGGGGTAGTTGGATGAAGTCACTGTGTGTCCTTTCCTTGTATTGCCGCTGTCCGTGGTCTTTCTTCCCCAATCTCTGCGTACTCTTCCATTTCCAATGGTGTGGGAGTTTTCCTTGGTACCACCATGCCACAATTGATGCCTCCAGTCCTCAGTCATTGGACGTAGAGATTGTTTACAGGTTTCACTATTTTAAGTAAAGCCATTGTGGATATTTTTGTACCGATGCATCCTTTTTTCCCTTTAACGACATCCTTAGGCTACAGTCTCTGGTGAGATTGCTATCATAGGATAGACTCAACTTTGTGACAGAGTTAGAAAGGATTTCAATGACCATCGAGTCCCATCTTTCATTTGATTTTTATTATGTTTTAAATGTTTTATTGATGCTCTTGTTCTTACATTAGAATAATTTCTGGATATACTTCTGTCTCCTCCTGTCTTCTCCCCATTCTCAGTGAATCTTCCCTGATGACAAAGTGAAATATTTCAGGAGAACTGACCAATGCATCTAACAGTATCTATACCGTTCCACACCTGTAGTTCCCCACCTCCCTAATGCACCTCCCAAGGGCGGGGTGCATATCTTCATCTCTTTTCTATAGTTAAGAATGATCTTTATGATTACATAGAATTCTAGTCCTTCATTTTCTAGGTAAGGAAGCTGAGGTTCAGAGATATTAATTGTAGTGATGTTTGCCCTTTACATCAAGGCAGATTTAGGTTTGATGAAAGGAAAAATATGCTAAGAATTAAAGCCATCCAAGGATGAAATGGGCAGCCCAGGGCTGCTCCCTAACTTGAGGTCTTCAAGCAAAGGATGGGTGACCCCTTGTGGAGTTAGAGTGCTGGGCATGGAGTCAGAAAGACCTGAGTTCAAACTCGGCCTCAAACATTTAAGTCACTTTAATCACTGTGCCTCAGTTTCCCCTACTGTAAAATGGGGATAGTAATATTGGCACTTACCTCCCAGATTATTGTGACATTCAAATGAGATATTTATAAAACACTTTGCCAGCCTTAAAGAGCTATATAAATGCTAGCTATTATTATTATTGTTCAGGGATGGGTTAGACTAGGTGTCCTGTGAGCTCCCTTCTGACCCTGAAACTCTCTGATTCTATGAAGTGACTTGTCCAGTATCAGAAGTCAGTTTCAAACCCAGGTCCACCTCCCAATCCAGTAAGGCAACATACATCATGTACCTTGTCTATGGTATAGGAACACAATGAATATTCAGGGGTTACTCCCTGACCACCTCCAGGATATGCAGCAAACCTACAGAGACAGTACAGAGGCATATTAGAAATGAACTTGTTTGATGAAGGCCAGAATAAGCTTTCAATATTTGTCATTATTTTTAGCTCCACTTGAGCCTTCTGGAGATCACAGAGTGATTCAAGGCCAAGTGGATAATGGCAGCAATTTCATTTTCCATCAGTCCCATGAATCATACATGTCTCCACTAAGAGCCTGACATATGAATATTTCAACACACAGATCCGAAGAAAATAACATCCTCACTTCAGAGAAGTTCCATTGAATCAGGCTTCACTCGTTTGGCCCAACAGGGAGGAAGACAGAATAGCATTGAAGTCAGCTCATGGCATTACTCCCGCCCAGGCCCACAAACAAAATGGCAGACTCACTGGCAGTCTGGGGGAGAGGATCTGGAGTCACAAGACTTGAGTCTGGCTTATTGGCCTTGATGAGAAGGAGACTTGGGCAAGTCACCAAACCCCTCTTGCCCTCAGTTTTCTCATCTGTAAAATAAGAGAGTTGGGCTAGGTGATCCCTAAAGTTCTTTCCTTCTCTAAATCTATCTGTCATCCTGTGAAGGTTGGCTCTGACAATTAAATTACTATTTGTGTGTGCCTAGACCTCAGTTTGCTCTTCTGCAAAATGGGAAAAATGATACTTGTCCTGTCTACCCCATAGAGTTACTATGAAGAGCACTAGGGACACCTCTTCACGTATAGGCCCCCAGAAGAATCGCCCCAGTTCCAAGGTATTCTGCGGATCAGTGCCCACCCGAAACCATAGCTCATGAGCCCCCACCAATACAGTACTTTTACTAGCCAGTGGCTTAGTAGATAGAGCTCTGGGCCTGAAGTCAGGAAGACTTGAGTTCAATTCTGGCCTCAGACGCTTACTAGCTATGTGAATCTGGGCAAGTCACTTAACCTCTGTTTGCCTTAATCCACTGGAGAAGGAAATGGCAAAGCACTCCCAGTATCCTTGCTAAGAAAACCTCATGGACAGCATCTGCATGGGGGGTCACAAAAAATCAGACATGACTAAATGACTGAACAACAGAACAGCAGCAGGGAACCACAGGGAACATTAGTTCAAAGAAAACAACATTTAATTAAATAACATAGCAAATAAAGTATATATGGGATATAGATAGGTAGATAGTTACATATATGTGTGTGTATGTGTGTGTATATAGATATATACATATCATGTATGAATCATGGCTGATTCAGTGCGCGCGTGCACACACACACACACACACACACACACACATACATTCAGTCTATTGCATCTGCTATGCAGAGATGCTATGGTCCTCCAGTGGTCTAATTCTACAGCCCTCTGCTGCCTCTCCATCAACCTAGATACCATAGACAATAGCAATAGTATAAGAATAACAGTTGAGATACTCATAAATTCATAGAAGACAAATCCAAGAAAGTATGCAATAGTAAATCCCTGGCCTCAAAGGTCTATGCACAAATCCCTAAAGTTTAGGCAACAAGCAAGAATAGGTAATAGTAGTTTAAAAAAAAAAAGTAAGGTATGATGGCAAAGTTAACTTTCCAGGCATCATAGAGACTTGTGGGATGAAACTCATGACTGGAATATGGGACTAAAATATGGGTTTCAAAAAAAAAACAGGATAGGGAAAAATCAGTTGGATTGTTATTCAGTCATTTCAGTTGTATCCAATTTTTCATGACCCTATTTGGAGTTTTCTCAGCAAAGATACTGGAGTGGTTTTCCGTTTCCTTCTTCAGTTCATTTTACAGATGAGGAAACTGAGGCAAACAGGGTTAAGTAACTTGCCCAAGGTCACACAGCTACTAAATGTCTGAGGTCAGATTTGAACGCAGGGAGATGAGTCTTCTTGACTCCAGGTCCAACACTCTATCCACATGCCACCTAACTACCCAATGTATACACAGACAAAGAAATCCAGGCACCAGAGAATGAAGAATGATGGAGAGCATTGGAGTAAATGAATGATTGAATGAATAAATCATTTATCAAGTGCCTACCATGTACAAAGCACTGTGCCAAATACTGGGGATACAAATAGAAAAGATAGTCCCTGCCCTCAAGAAGCTCATATTCTTTTTCTGGGCTTTTTTTTTTTTTTTTTGCCTTTTAGTGAGGCAATTGGGGTTAAGTGACTTGCCCAGGGTCACACAGCTAGTAAGTGTCCAATGTCTGAGATCAGATTTGAACTCAGGTCCTCCTGACTCCAAGGCCGGAGCTCTATCCACTGTGCCACCTAGCTGCCCCAAGAAGTTCACATTCTAAGGGGGTAAAAGTCAATGGAGGGAGAAACAGAAGACATTTGATCATCACAGTATACTATAGACCACCTGGACAGAAGGAGGGACTAGATGAGGAGTTTGGGAAACATCACAAATCTGGCACAGAGGTGGGGTATTGTAGTGGTGGGGGACGTCAATGAGCCGTCATCTGCTAGAGCTCATGCTCTCTACCTCCCTCCCCTTCCCTCCCCCTCCTCCTTTGTCCTCCCCCCTTGTCTCCTCTTTTTCTTCCCCTTCACCTCACCTTTTCTCTTCCACTCCCTCTCCCCTTTTCCTCTCCCTCTCTGCCACAAGTCCAGTGACAAGAACAATGTTCTGCTACATGGAGAAAAAGGAGCATCACAGAAGGTATAGGACCTTTGCTCTGGGTAGGCGAATAAAGACAGAACTGCTCAAATCTTAGTTTACTCCTGTTTTTCTCTGCACTGGAAATGACAATGAAGGTGGCTAATAGGAAGCGGATGCCTGAGATAAGTAAGGTGATAGGAGATGAGCACTTAGCCTTGATGAACCCAAATCATACCTGGCCCAGATGATGTAGGAAGAACTATAGGCTTAAGTCCTGAAAGACCTGGCAACTGTGATTGCTGAGCCAATATTAGTCATATGTGGAAGATCACAGAAAATAAAACCGGAGAAGGGTAATGTTGTCCTGATTAAAAAAACCAAAAAACAAAAAACACGAGAACAGAGCCTGCAAATTATAGACCAGTGAGCTTGACTGGGAAAATTCTAGAATAGATCATTTTAAAAGTGGTTAATGAATATTTAAAAGGGGTAGAGGTAATGATTACAGAGATCCAGCCAGGTTTCACCAAGAGCAGGTCAGACCACGCTTACCATAACTCCTCTTTTTTTTCCTCCCCCTCAACTCCTGCCCAGCTCCCCACCACCATATTGAATGTGATGCCAAGTCTTGTCGATTTCACTTTTGTAACATCTCTTCTCTCCCCTGAAGTTAAGAATGACTCCTAGGTTGTGAGCCTGGGTGACTGGGGGGGATGGTGGTACCCTCCACAGTAATAGGGAAGTTGGAAAGTGGGGGTGGGTGGTTTAGGGGGAAAGATAATGAGCTCTGTTTTAGAGATGTTGAGTTTAACATGAATGTGGAAATCCAGTTGGAGAGATGAGACTGGAAGTTATGAGAGAGGCTAAGGGCTGGACCCAGCCAGGATTCTAGAAGTCCCTGAGGGGTTCCTGAGTGTCTTTCTCCAATGCTATCATCTACAGCCCCCATTAGCTATGTTCTCCCACTGTTAGATGCCAGTGAGTAGCACCCCAGTTCCATTTAGCTACTTAATATTAATTAGCTTTTTACAAAGAAGTATTTATTTTGAAGAAATAGCAAGAACAAATGTATACACATTCTCCCCCAACGCCTAGAGGACACACTCTGCCCTATTCCACCTTGGTCCCTGGGGAGAGTGGGTTAACTCAGCCCAGTTCCTATCTACACAAAACTGATCCCAACAAGCTCATGTGTCAATGGGGCCTGAGTGTTAGATAAGTCCTCATCTCAGCTACCCTGGGCCAGGTCCTAAAAATTGTTCCGTGTTTCTCTAGGCACCAGTGCTGAGCTGGCCGCCAGTCCTAGGCTGGGAAAGGACAAGGAGCCAGGGTGCTGGGGAACCTTCCTGATATTCGGAAACTCACAATGTTGTAGACTCCAATCCCTTCCCCTAGAATAGAAAAAGATCAAACACAGAGGCCAAGGCCTGGAGCCCATTTCAACATAGACTTAGAGGGGAGAAGCCCCTGAGTCTTTCTCATTACATTATTGTCTCTTTCTGTGATGGGGGAGTCAAACCTCCAGCCAGAAGCCAAAGAGAAAATGGCTAAACAACCTAGGCGGAGTCTGTCTCGGGCCTTTTTGAATACACCTCCCATTGACCGTGCAACCAATCAAAAAAGACTTCTAACCATGTGGTTAGCAGAACTGAACAAGTTATAGAATGTCTACGCTTCTCACAAAGGCCTCTCCTTAGCCTCCTCTGCCTGGAGAAGGAGCATCGTGCTAGTGTTCATTGTCCCCCATTATACTATCCTTTTAAAATTATTACTTTCTCGAGCCTTTGAAGCTTACTCCTCTGCGGTCCTTTTGGACTTCACCATCTGGTAATAATAAAGGCAAGGATTATTAAAAATACACTGAGGGAAGCTGTTTAAATTATCCGGAAATGTTAGCGGTTTCACAGCTTGGATTTTCCAACTTGGAAATGGCAAGGCAAGAGAAAAAAGGCCTCCTTTCTGAAAGCAGATATGGAGGAGCTGGAATCTAAATGAATCAAAGAGTAGGGGGTTTGAACTCTGCAGACAGACTTATTTTTAGACACAGGCAGGAAGAGTCCAACTGGCAAAGATCCCATAGACCCAGACCCTGTTTCATTCTCTATATTTAGAAAAGTGACGTATCGTTGCAAAATAACAAACAGTCAAGGACATGAGGATCAAAGGTTATGTTAGAGCACAGGTTTACAGAACATAAAATAAAGTCAATGACTGGCCATTTTGTAGTAAATTAGTGCTGTAAAGAAGCATTACAGCTTCCTCTTCAGTGGAAAGGGCACTGCTTTTTAGTCAGAAGACCTGGGTTCAAATAACACCTCTGACACTGCCCAGGTGAAGGGCTTAAGGGAAGTCCCTTGACCCTCCCCTGGGTCTCAGGCTGCTTAGCTGTAAAATGAGAGCATTGAAGGAGATTGCCTCTGAGGGCCTTTCCAGCTCTAGGCCTATCATCCTATGATTCAATGACTCTGCATCACTCATGATGTCAATCTTCATGTGAGCAAAAACTTGGAAACAATTTGGGTGCCCATTTGTGGAGTAATGGCTAAACAATTTGTGATATATGCTTTTTTTTTTCAGCCAAAGGCAAGGTTTATTAGAACATCCCATCATATTGGCCAGACTCTTAAGGAATCTAAGCATTTGTATCACTAATGCAGGTGAACCAGACCTTAAGAATCTGAGCCCTCTTCATGAATCTGAGCACCTTAATGGAGACAAGATGGACCTTATATATAGAAAGACTGTGGAAGGGATCCGGGAGTGGCTAAGTAGTCTGGAATGACTGGAGGAAGGGTCCAAGGAGGATCTGGATGGGAGTGGCCAGACAGAATGCCAGGGACCTGGACCAAGTGGCCAAGGGAGTATGGAGTCTAGAAAGGATTAAGGGTGGGAAGTGGCCGGGGCCAA